GCCGCGAGGCGGCCGGCGTGCTTATGGCGCCGAAAACGCCGACGCCGGCAGCCCGGGCGGCGGTGGCGCCGGTGCGCGGGGCCGGCCGCGGGCGGCGCCTGCGGCGCCGCAGGCGCCGCCGCCGCCGAACCCGTATCTGCAGCTGAGGGACCCCACCCGCGGCGTCGGCCCGCACGTGCTGCCTAGAGAGGCGCGCGAGCGCGCCCTGCGCGCCGTCGCGCCGGCCGAGCGCGCGGCGGCGGCGGCCGCGAGGCAGGCCGAGCTGGAAGCGGCCAAAGCCCGTGCGCTCGCCGCAGCTGCTGCCGCGGGCGACGCCGCGGCCGGCGGCGGCGGCGGTCGGACAGCGCAGGGCGGCCTTGGGCGGGAACTGAAGCTGCGGCTGCTGCAGGCGGCGCCGGTGCTGCCAGGCGGCGCAGGCCACGATTTACCGCCAGAGGCGCTGCTGAGCCACCATGGCATGGAGATCGGAAACCACTGGGGCCCGGTGGACGCGAGCGTGCGGCCGCCAAAGGCGCGACTGGATGAGATGTTTGGATACACTGCCAGCTACTACGTGCCGAAGGCGGCCGGCTCGGCGCCTGCAACGGCTGGGAGCGGCGGCGGCGGCGGTAGAACTAGCGCCGGGGCGCCCGCTGCGGCAGGCGGAGGCGGGGCTGCGCCCGGGCCGGCGGCGGGCACAGTGGGGCGGCTGGGAGCGGGTGCTGGCGCTGGCGGCGGGGAAAGCGGCGAGGGCGGGGCGGGTCCCAAGCCAGCGGTCACGCGCATTGGCAAGCCCTCGTACCACCTGAAACGACCCCCAGATGCCGGCGGCGCCAGCGACGCGGCGGCCCCCGGCGGCGCCCGCGGCGCCGAGCCCGCGGTCCTGCGGCCCGGGCCCGGCGGCGCGGCCTCTGTGCGGGTGGACGCTGCCACAGCTAGCCCGGCGACGGCCACGGCCGCAGCTGGTGGCGGCGGGCATGCTGCGGGTGTTGCAGGTCACCCTGGTGCAACCTCGGCCCGAGTCGCTCCTGAGCTGGGGCAGAGGCCAGCCCTGGCGCGGCCGGCAGGCCAGCAGACGGCGCAGCAAGGCCAAGGGGGCCCGTCAGCACCAGCCTCTGCGGCGCGCGCGACGCAGGCGGTGCCCACGCACAAAAAGCAGCAGCAGCAGCAGCAGCAGGAAGGGGAGCACGAGGAGGAGAGTGAGCGTGACAGCCTCGCAGGCGAGGAAGAGAGCCCCGAGGCGAGCGCCAGCAGCAGCGGCGACGGCGGCACCCCCCCAGCCGCGTCGCGCCGCCGCCTGGCGCCCGCGCCCGCCGACGACGGCGAGGTGCATGCGCGGCGGCGGCGCGCGGCGCAGGAGGAGCGGCGGCGGTTCAGGGAAGAGGCGGCTGCCCACAACGAGCGCGTGCTGGCAGACCTGTCTGCGGCGGCCGCGGCGCCGCTGGACGCGCGGCTGGCGGAAGGCGGGGAGGCGCTGGGTGGGCGCGGGAGAGGGCGCGGCGCCGACGCGAGGGGACAAGTGGCGCAAGAAGCTGATGGGATGACCCGGTTACGACAAGTGGCGCAAGAAGCTGATATGCACACTGAAAATGGTGTGTCCGTTTACTTGAAATCAACCTGCCTTGCTGCGTGCTGTTCTTATGCTGAAATAATGTACTTTCCTTGCAGTAAGTCATTGTCCGGGTACCCCCAGTCGTCCATGCTTGCAACTCTCCCAATGACAACGCAAGCATGGATGTGTTTTCCCACCTTGAGTTCCCGCCCTGTATCCCAACTGACGCCCCGAGCGTATGCGGCGCGAGCTGCTTGTACTGTGAGGCACTTACTGAAAGACGTACCGCGGCCACCAAAGCACTGCTGCTCTTGACTCCCTCGGGCCAGCAGCAGAAGCAATTAGAGTGTAACCACCACACCAACGGTCACTTTTGTCAAGCCAATTTGAGGACGTGATTAAATAAAAATGCTGGTGGAGAAGACGACAGGGGACACTCCAAACACTCACTCAGCGACGTGGGTAAAAAAAGGTCAGATGCTTGATGAGCACGATTTCAATTGCGCAGCGCGATGCTGTTTGAAAAGCTCCTAGGCCGCCCCTGGACTGCGGGCCACGGGCGCCCTGGCACCCATGGCCGGTGCTGCTGCTGCTGCTGCTGCTGCTGCTGCTGCTGCTGCTGCTGCTGCTGCTGCTGCTGCTGCTGCTGCTAGTGGCGTGTGGTGACAACGGCGCCGCTGCTGATTTGGTGCTGCCGCAGGCCTCCCCACCTCAGCACCGCGCCGCTGCCCCTGCCACCGCTGCTGCGGGTGAGGCTTCTGCAGGTGTGGCGCTCTGCTGCGTTTGCCAGTGAAGCCTCCTGCCACAGCGGTCCCTGCCTTTGCCGCCGCGGCCACCTGGTGGCCCCGCCTTCTGCTGCTGCTGCTGCTGCTGCCGCTGCTGCTTGTTGAGAGCTCCACTGTTTCTCAGCCCGGCTCTCACTCAAGCTTGATCGTGCCGCCGACTGTGCAAGGGCGGTGCAGCGGGTTGGGTCGTGTTGGGGTGAGGGGTGGCACCACTGCATCACTGCGTCAGCCCTCCTCACTGCTTCCTCCCTCACAACATGCGGAGCTGGTGCGAGCATGCACGCAAACAAGCAACAGACATCTCTTAGGTCTTTGAGCTCTCCCACAGCACACACAATCCACACGTTGCTGCTGCCAATGCAGACAGCGCATGTGAATGAAACAGCCAAGCGTGCGGCTAGGCCCAAGCCGCCCAGTTGTTTCCAATCCGGAGCGGGGGTCTGTGCAGTGTGCCTGTGCTCAGCGCGCCCCCACGAGCCCACTCACCTGCTTCAAGCTGCTTCTGCATTGCCTCTGCGTCCGCCTTGCTGAGGCCCTCCTTGATGACAATCGGGGCCTTCTCCACCTGAATGGAGTGATCGTGGTGCGGGTCGGTGAGTTGACCAGGTTGCCTGTGACCGGGTAACTCCAGTGCGTGATGCACAGCCCGCGTGCTACGCTCAGCGGAGAACAGGCGCGTTGCCGCTACAGGCTGGAGCACGCAGTCCATCAGCCGAGGACAGACGCCCTGGCGGCCGAAATGCGCGGCGGAGAGTGCGCAGCGCACTGCAAACATGAGATGAGTGAATGCCGTGCTGGTTGCTGCCATTGCACTCAGCCTGCGCCACGCACCAGCTCCTTAGCCTCCTTGAGCCCCAGGCTGGTGATGGCCCTGATCTCCTTGATGACTTTGATTTTGCCCTCTGGACTGAACGCCTCCAGCTTGACCGCAAACTCGGTCTTCTCCTTCTTCTCCTCCGCAGGAGGCGCGGCATCGCCGCCGCCTGCCGCCGCGCCGCCGCCCGGAGCGGCTGCCATCTGCATGGCGCCCATCATAGGCATCGATCCAAACGCAGGCTTCTCGATGTTCAGCTTCTTTCTCAAGATCTCGGACAGCCAGCTGCACTCGAGGACCGAGAGGCCCACGATCTCGTCTGCGAGCCGCTGAACTTTCTCATTGCCTATGCTGCTAACATCCTGCTGCTGCGACTGGCCGCTGCCAGAGGGCTCAGCGCTGCTAAGAGATCGCGCCTGCCATCCCAGAGCCCATACGCTAAGGCCGGGCGCAGCGCTGCCTTGCTGATACAAGGCCCGTCGCAGTGTACTTGACAGGACGCCGCTCATTTTGCGCCAAGCCCCTGGTGTCAGATCACAATTTTCAGTGGACCGCTCTCACTGTGTGGGCTGAGCGAGGATTGCAAACAGGGCGCGTCTTGTGACGCCAGTAAGGACTGATTGGCCTGCACCGCCGCCCGACCCACGCGACCCTGTGTTCATGTGGCACTCGTGCAGCTGCTGCGCAGGCGGTTGCGGCCGAGACTGGGCCAACCCTCGATTGCTCAGAGGAAGCCTGGGCAGCCGTACCTAAAAGAAATAAAAGGACAGTTCAAATTTGGGCCACATTTCACACGCAGAGACACACGCTGTTGACCGCATCGGCCGGGTGTTGCCTCATTGCAATTGCTTCTGTCAGTGCCCTGCTCCCCATACACAAAGGTGCCGCATGCCCAGCAGCAGCTTGAAGACCACTCATATGAGTAGCCACAGCGTTGAACTCATATCCTGTGAGGTGGGCTTGGCTAAAATTCAAGACCGCGTTGCAATGTCACCAGCACGAGGCTCTGTGTATGGTTACCATCCAACCAGTGAAAACCGCTGCAGTAAATTTTGTAGTGCTTTGTACAAAAAGCAGGTGGCCCAGTGTAAGTGCTTTGCATCAGGGCCCGGAGTGGCAAGGTTTTTTGTGTCAAACTGGTAGCCGAAAACGGAGGTGGGGGGGCGCAGCTGCGTGCACTGCCTGCTAGGGGGTGCACGCGAGCCACGCATGCCTGCTCACGCATCCTCGCGGCAATCCCGAAGAATGGGGCCGGGCCAGAATGGGGAGTAGGCTGCCCAAAGGAGCGCACGCTTCAGCGCCGCCTGTGGGGCGCCCCTGCGCCGGCCCGCAGCGAGGTGGGAGCCAGGCGCTGCTGCCGGGGTGATGGTGCCTAGGCGAGACCCTGGCGCCGCCGCAGTGATGGGGTCCTCAAAGGAGCCGCGCAGGGCGCAACGGCAGAGAGGTGCCCGCGGCGAGGAGCGCTGCCACCATTCACTCAACTTTGGCATCCGCGGTGCCGTTCACGTGCAAATCCCTGTAGTTGTGGAGCGGGGGAGTGGGGGTGTCAAATCCTTGATGCCGGCCCGGCACAGGATCATGAGCTGGGGCGAGCCCCCCTGTTGCGGCAAGTGATGACGCCCCCCACACCCTCATCACAAGCGCCGCGGGACACCCCCAATTGTGGCGGGCCCCCTGCGCCTGGCCCTGCCGCTGCGCCCTCGGTCCGGGCTGCGGGTTCGGGGCGCGGAACGCTCACGCCTCGGCCGCCGCTGGCAGCTCGTCGTGGTTGACGTGGTAAGTGTAGTAGTTCCATCCCGCCCCCATCCACAGAACAGAGAGCCCTACGGTAGGCAGGTGGGGACGGGGTCGAGGGCGCGCTCGGGGATAGCCTGCGCCTCCGACGACGGCCGTGGTGCCCTCGTGCATTCTGCTGCTGGCGCTGCTGGCGCTGATGCCGCCGCTGCCGCTGCTACCGCTGCTGCTGCTACTGCTGCTGCTCTTAACATTGTCACTGGTCAGATTGTCTCATTTTGCTGCGGCCGCAAGCACTGCCGCTGCAGGCGCCGCGTCAGCCGCTGCCAACCAGCCGGCCCCTCGAGGTGAGCAGCAAAGTGCTGCGTGCCCCTTTGATGCCTCGGCCACACGCACCGGCCACCACCATGGGCGAGGCGGCGCCCTTGAGGCTCATTGTTTTGAACACGAGCAGCTCTGTCAAGAAGTGGGCCAGCGCCACCACAAACGACAGCAGCGTGGCGCCTGGGGTGGGATCGAGGTGCGCTCTGTGAGGCATTCCGTAGCGCGACCGTCGAAGCATCCAAAGACCCCCACGTGCAACAAGCATCAGCGGCGCGACGCGCATTCGAGACCCCGGTCGGGTGGCGCGCCAGCCGCTCCTCCGAAGGATGCGCGGGGCGCATCGCTGCCTGGCCGCCCCCGCACCATAGATGGCCGGGTTGGTCGGGTTGCGAGCGCAGATGAGGCACAGCCCGCAGGTCAGCAGCGTCCACGTCGCGAACAGACGCCCGTAGAGCTCGTTAACTGCACGCGTCACCACAGGTCCCCAGGAGTGGAGACACGGGAGCAACTTGTCGGGTGGGGTCGCGCGATGGCTTCGCGGCGCAGTGCGCGGCAGCCCTGCGCCTGCTGCAGGCATGCAGCGCAAATTGTGTTGCGCTGGGCGCACGCTCTCGAATCTGCTGGTGCAGGATGCGCCGCCCGCCCGTCCCCAAAGCGGTGTCGCACCCAGCTGCGGCTCCTTGTCAATGAGGGCGATCTTGAACTTGTCTGGATCCGCGATCCCTATGTAAACTATGATGGCGGGGGCATTTCGCGGGTCAGAGCCAAGCAGGGACTGCCGAGTGCAGTGCATCCCAGGGGTGCGCACCTGAAAGCAGCCGGAGGCACGCCACCAGAAAGAGCCACCGTTGCAGGAGTAGCACCGAGCTTCTCGTCGCAGGCATGGTTCAGGATGTCGACGCCAGTGTGAATGCAGATCGCAGGGCCTGCGCCCTCAAAAGTGGAGAATGCCGCCTGTTAGCAGAAATTGTCCGCACACTTGCGCTCCAGTGCGCCGAGCCTGCAGCCTGGCGGGACAGGCTGGCGGATCCGATCGCTTGGAGCATAGAAGGCCTACGGCAAGCGTGTTCGTGCGTGCCTGTATGCAAAAATGATCGACTGTACGGCCTGTGCCGCATGGCCACTCCCTAGGAAGCCTGCCAACCAAGCCACCCAGCAGGGGCGGCACCCATGTCGGAGTGCCACTGTCCATGACCCGTTTCGCATTGACCCAGCCGATCATAGCTGCATGTAGCCAGCGTTGAAGGCATTCGTAGCAATTGTGAGGGTGCTGCACATGGCTGTGGGCCTGAGCCAGCGGGGGTGACCTCATACTGCATTTCTTGTACAGAACGCTCACGTTGCCTCATGGGCGATACGGACTGCTCCGGGTCACCCGTGAATGACACAGCCCAGCCTCAGAAAGTGGCATCATTTGATACTGGCACATGCTCTTGGTCGTGATGCATGCACAGTTGAAAGCCCCCAGGAAAACATGGCAGCCATTGATGTCTGTGCTGCTCCTTAATGTTGGCACGTGTTGACCTGGGTTGACCAGTTGCTGGCCGCGCATGCATGCCGCCTGTGCTGAGGTTCAAGCCTGCGTACGATGACTGGAGCTTTTGATCTTACAGAGTCCCCTGCTGCTGCAAGTGCAGCGCAGTATGCAGAGCACGGAGCCCCGCAACAAGTCGCTGCGGCACATATCATTCATGACAAGTTGTGTGAGGGTGGTGTGTGATGCATGACAGCTGCCAGGTGACACGTGTGTTGCTCACGCCATTATAGTAACCTCGGTTATAAGATGAGTCACTCTACAGCTCAACATGTTTGCCCTTGCCATGCAAGCAGGCAGCAGTACAGGACCACCGAAGCCGCCCATGACCGGCTTTCGGAGCAAGGTATGTGCTGCGCGCACCCAAGCTGTGATTTGGGATACTCGGTAAACCAAGGCCTTCTCTGAGAGGTTGATCATGCTGCAGATAACCTGTGCTCACTGTGGCCAGGTGAGCTCACCTGGAGCCTCTGGCAGCAGCGCACCAGCACAGCAGAGCTCACCCCAGCACAGTGAGCATGTTGCCTGCCAGCACGCTTACAGCCAGACCCTGAGCAAGGATACCACAGACACATACGATGTTACGACATCCAGTTGATAATACAGAGCACACGCATCAACTAAAGCGGTGGTCCTTGGCAGCACGATCACAAAGCTGATCTGCATTCATAGACACTGGTCGCGTTATACAATAAATGAGTGCAGCGCCGGATGGATCGCGGGTGCGGGCAGCAAAAAAGATGTGCATTGCGGGACGACGCACGGACGCTGCGCTGCGCAGCCAGCTGCACGCTTACTCCTCCACCCTGCCCTCGGGCGCAGAGCTTCAACGTGCTCCCACCAGGGCCCCTGTTCAAGAAGCGCAAGTTTGCAGTGGCACGTTTTCAGCAGGTGAAACCCCTGTCGTACACCCCTGCTGCCAGCGCGATAGGAGAGGCAAGCGATGGCCGACGGCGCTCATCCTTGAGCAGTCCCTTTGCTGCAACTCCATGGGCGGCCTTGAGTTGCCACATGCGTTTTCGCAGCAGCGCCCGCCCGGCTATGACAGCAGGCCCGCGCGCTCGCCCCCTGGCCGCGCCACGCAGGGCGCGCCCGAGTTCAAGGGCGGGGACTGGCTGGCGGCGTTGGAGCGGCCGGAGGGGCGGCGCGCCAAAGACATGTGCGTCGCCCCAGCGCCGCGCGAATTCGTTGGCCGATCGGGCGCAGCAAATGCTGACACGAGGCAGTTGGGGGCCCGCAATCGCTGCCATGTCAGCATACGTATCGCACTCCCGCCAGCCGCCACATCAGCGTGCGCACCCATCGGTGTCACGTTTCTTTCACACAATGGCCGCCCGCCCGCGCAGCGCCAAGTTGCAGCCGAGCATGGTGCTTACATGCCCAGACCCCGCCGGCGCCGCCTTGCCGCCGCTGGAGCAGCTGCGGGGCCTGCCGGAAGGGTCCGCCCTCAGCAGCTACTTCGTACTCATGAAGCAGGTGCGTGGCAGCTGCCCAGCCCTCGGCCCCCGCCGCCCGACGAGCGGCGGGCGCCCCGCGCGGGGCCGTCGGCGCGCCGCCGCGCCGGCTGTGCATGCACGCGCCGCGTGCGGCGGCAGGGGCGGCGCCTGGCGGGCCCGCTTGATTATTGGTGTCGCATCACCTCGCATCACCACGCATCCTATTGCAGGGCAACGACTTTACTGCGCTGCCAGTGGACCAAGTCTATGGTTTCAAGCCCGTCGTGCTGTGAGGCGCCCTCCGGGGGGGGGGGGCACGCACCAGACACGGCGAAAACGGCGGAAGGCGCACGGGTTACGGCATGCATCACAGGGGGAAGGCAGGGGACAGGGGACGTTGGAGCGGCGGGCGGCCTGAGCAGACTCATGCCGGTGCCGCCCGGCGCGCGGCCAGCCGGCCCGCCTCCCGCCTGGCCCCTGCCGCAGCCCTCACGCGTGCAACTTTGCCTTTTCAGTGCAACAGCGTGATGTCAGGGGTCAAACGCGAGGCCTGAGCGTTGCTCGACCGCCGTCGCCCCCCCCCCACCCCCGGCCCCAGCCACGCGAAAAAGTTTACGCTGGAGGAGGCAGAGGAGGCG